GGTATAGGTGCAGCAGCAGCAGCGATGGCACCTCCTCAACAGCAGCTACAACAGCAGCAGCAACAGCAGCAGCTGCAGCAGCAACAACATATCATACAGCAGCAGATGCAGCAACACCACCAACTGCAGCAGCAGCAGCAGCAAGCGCTACAGCACCACCAGATGCAGCAGCAGCAGCAACTGCAGCAGCAACAACTGCAGCAGCAACAGCTGCAGCAGCAGCAACTGCACCACCAGCAACAGACACAGATACAGCAGCAGCAGCAGCAACTGCAGCAGCAGCAGCATCCACTGCAGCAGCAAGCACTGCAGCAGCAGGCCCAATTACAACAGCAGCAGCAGCTGCAGGTGCAGCAACAGCTGCAGCAGCAGCAGCAACCCCTGCAGCAGCTGCAGCAGCAGCAACCCCTGCAGCAGCTGCAGCAGCAGCAACCCCTGCAGCACCTGCAGCAGCAGCAACCACTGCAGCAGCAGCAGCAGCAGGTGCTGCTGCAGCCCCCCACCCCTGCAGCAGCACACCTCCCTGCTGCCCCGGGTATGGCTGCGGATGCGAGTCAAGGAACAGCAGCAGCAGCAGCTGCTGCTGCTGCTGCAGCAGCAGCAGCAGCAGGAGGTCCTGGGGGGTTAGGTGTACATACACCACAAGGGCACTGGGGGGCCCCCTTGCTGATGCAGGCACCAGCAGCAGCAGCAGGGGCCCCTGAGGGGCCCCTGCTGTCTTCATCAGTTCTTCCTGCTGCTCCCCTTGCTGCTGCTGCTGCTGCTCCTGCTGCTGCTGCTGCTGCTGCTGCGCGGGCGCCACCAGCGCAGCAGCTTGGGGGTGTTCTCTCTCCTCGTTCAGCAGCAGCAGCAGCTGCTGCTGCTGCTGCTGCTCCTCCTGCTGCAGCAGCACCAACACCAGCAGCAGCAGCAGCAGGGATGCCCCCTGATGCTACAGGTGTGGGGGGGGGCCCCGGGGGGCCCCCCGTGGGTACTGGGGGGCCCCCACGTCAGTGGGTTGCTGCATCGAAGGCAGCTCCTGCTGCTGCACCTGTGCTGCAGCAGGGGAGAGGGTTTGGGGTGTCTCCTCAGGGGGGCCCCCCGGGCCCCGCAGCTGCAGCAGGGGGGCCCCCTACCCAGCAGCAGCAGCAGCAGCAGCAACAGCAGCAGCAGCAGCAGCAGCAGAGCGCGACGGGTACTGGAGAAGGAGCAGGGGGGCTGAGGGGTAAGCAGCTGGGATCGATCG